CAGTAGGAATTAGTAATTAAACACATAAAGCTGTTAGGGCTACTGTGTGGTGATATATTTCGGTGACCACCGGCACAATAAGAACACAATCCGTGTATGCTTTGCTGCAAGATATGAGACTGTTAGTTTGTAAAGTAATATTACATGTAATCATTAAGGTAAACATGACAAGATCTGAACAAATGTGGGAAGAAAAATTGATGGGTTATTCTCACCTTCAATTGGATTCGCATACAACCATCAGTACAGCTGAGGTTCAAATTTTATTTTGCCTACTCTCAAACTCTTCTTCTCCACAATTCCTCATCCTCATATTGAGAATATTTTAAGAAACTGTAAAAACAAAAAGTCATAATTATTAACGTAGGCTCAAATACAATACACCGAAAAATAATGATTACTTTTGCGAACAAGCGTATCGATAAAAACTGTTAACACATTTTTGATGGCTCTAAAAAAATATATAAGCCCCTACCAATTATATTCCAAGTACTATGAAACAGATTACTGATAGAAATGTGAAATGTACCATTACGACCAGCTACAACACACTGAGTTGCATCTCTGTTAGTGCTTATGGTATTGAGGGGACCCTCTTGAGTGAAAACATAGTTCGCCCCATTGACATGATAGATGATTGTTTGTCACCGAACGAACTTTAAAAACCCTGAAAAGAAATAAGGAATAATTGTTGTGTAAATCAGCAAATTGTAAAGTCTACATTCAGGCCGTTAACAATATAATATCGTCAGCAGTGTCACGCATCATACACTTTCTAAGGACCACCCACCACCATTAATGAAGATAAAATGGAATTTTCCACACACACTACCGGCGGTGATACTCCATTAGGAGTGTTCCCATATATTAGTTTGTGGTTTAATGTCATTTAGGTTAAGGTTAGGGTTAGGGCTAGGGTTAGGGTTAGGGTTAGGATTATCAATCATTAATCATTAATGATATCAAAGTTGAGAACACTCATAATGGAGCGTTAAGGGCCGGACACACCAGGCGCGATTGCATCGGGCGATGGCATCGGGGCGATGGCATCGCGATGCATCGGGCGATGGCATCGCCCGTTCTATCGCGCAGTCGTGGACACACCAGGCGATTGCACGGGCGATTGGCATCGCGCCCGATTCTTGCGCCGGCCGCCAGTGCCGGAGAGAGAGAGACGGAGAGATGAGAGACGAGAGAGAGAGAGAGAGAGAGGACGAGAGAGAGAATTCGAGGAGAGAGCGAGACGAGAGAGAGAGGAGATGAAGACCGACGTGGGAGTGCGAGAAAGAGAGAAAGAGAGTGGGGGTAACCAACAAAATGCAGCGCTCCAGAAAGAAAATAAATAAGAAAAAACGGAAACTTTGCCATTGCAATGGCAGTTTATATCACGACTTTTACGACGAACAAGGTAAGCGCAGTAAACGTTGGGAGAACCGTACCCACTGGCGTTAAACCCTGGGTTGGTCGTTCGACGACGCATGGAGTAATTTAATAATTATTGAGATGAATTATCTCCTGCTCCATGAAGTCTGCCATTTTGGTCGAATTACGTCAGATCATTGAACAACTCTGATTGTGCTGATGAATTGTACAATCGGCGCGATGTTATCGCCGGTCGCGGACACACAGGCGATTGCATCAGGCGATGGGCATCGGCCGATTGGCATCGGGCGATAATATCAAACGTTTTGATCTGTGCGATGGATCGGCCGATGGCATCGGGGCGATGAAATCGGCGGCGATTGAGTGGACACACCAGCGCGATTTTCACGGCGAATTGCCTCGCCCGATCCGATGCAATCGCCTGGTGTGTCCGGCCCTGAAGCCCAACTACCAGGAAGGTATCAGTTGTCATTTAACTACTGATATGCTATCTATTGGCAAAGTGTGTGAAATGCGCCTTCCCCCACCCCAAATAGCGCATAGACTGCAAAATCGTGTTAGTGTTGATAATTATAAACAGCCCCTTAATCAATCCACATTATGTTAATTCAAAAATGCTTAAAAAGTATTGTGGAAGTCAATGTTATGACTTGTCGAGTATTTAGCTGCCCCAGCTAAAGAACTTGTTAATTTCAATCTTTGGATGTTGAATATGTATATGACGTCACTATACATCCCATTTTCACCTGCAGCAACAGTACTTACCATTGTTCAACATGCTACAAACCGAACGTATAGGAGTTAGTATTGCTACACAGCAAAACCTGTGAATTAAACCACAGATGTACTAGTAGTCGACGACTTATAGTAGAAGTAGTAGTAGTAGACTGTAGTAGAAGACTAATAGAACCATTGAACCTTGGTACTACTACTTCAATGTAGGTCGCAGCACCAACTAGATATCACACTCATTAGATATTACCCACCAACTTCGTTATAATTCCTGACAGCAGGATAAACTAATCCGGGGTGCTAAACCAGAGAGACATGATACAAGATTGCATGGCACAGCTTTGCTGTTGATCCTAAGCGCTGCGCGCGGATGAGACGCGCAGTTCCGCGGGATATGCGCACGCGACCGCGGGGATGTTCAAGTATGAAGCGCTGTCCGCAGGGGAGACGTGCGCCAAATTCGAGGCCCGGCGCACGTCTCCACAGCGGTCAGCGGATGGTCTGCAGTTTTAGAAGATGACAATGATTATATATGGATGATATTCTAGGAAATGGAGATTATAAAACAGTAACAAAAATCGCTCAGTCATGCTCCAGATTTGCTGAATCAAAAAGATTAGAATTTAATATGAACAAAACAAATACAATGGTATAAAACATCCAAGAGATGGCACTTCCGACAGCGAGTGAAAATGCAGAAAATTTTCTTGTTCGATGCGAAATGCATCGGCCGGGCATTTCAATTTTCATTATTTACGAAAAGCAAACAGCTAGTCTCACGAAACACCTACACGCAGTAACGGGACACGTCGTTGACGCCCCATTCCGTGTCCATCAACGAAGAAGGCGGGGCTTATTGTCATTACGGAGATGCCAAAATGCAACTTAAGGACGTAGCGCAGTGCGCTAAACAGCGTGTTATTTTCGTATTTGTGCCAAACTCTATCGTAGGAAACTGTTCTAGCCTAGCAGAATGCCCTAGTTCCTGAGATCGGCGATTCCATGCTTTAATGGTATTATACCTAAAAGTTATAAGATAGGGGCGCGGCGTAGACTGTGATTGGAAGACACAAAGTGTCAATCCTCGGCGAGCCTCGGCATCATGGCCGCATCACGTCTAGGCTTGGGCCGCCTAAAGCTGGCAATGGCAGTAGCCTAATGCTAATCACTGTCTGTCAGCCCAATATTGCAATAATAGTTAATACTAGTTACTACTTACCTAGGCCTACTACTAGCAAGTTAAAGTTGAGTCTGAGAAATTAAACAGAGATACACGGCACGTGTATAATAAATAATATAATAATAATGGAGTTGGGGTTACACAAATCAATAATTGGTATGTGCAGCCTTTATATTGGATTTAATGATAGATAAGAATTAGATGGATTTATACGGTAGAATGTCCTTGCCCTGTCAGTGTCACAGACGTCACACACAGTGCCACTTTCAGTGGCGCTCATAGGGTCTATGTCCCCCAGGGTACTGCCAGAACATACCCTGGGTACAGTCCGGTATACCGGAATGTACCCTGGTAACTATCTAATATGGTTAGGGTTAGGGTTAGGGTTAGGGTTAGGGAGTAGGCGTAGGCGACTCCCTAGACTCGTTAGTGGAGTAGGCGAGGTACGGTCCGGCATATTAGATAGTACCAGGGTACGTTCTGGTATACCGGACCGTACTCAGGCCCAAGGTACAGTCCCAGGGGGACATAGGGCAGTACCTGGACATATAGGCAGTACCTGGACATATAGGCAGTACCCTGGGGGACATAGACCACAGGCACTTGCGACTGGCTGGTCGGGGTTCAATAAATAGACTCGCAGCTAGGGCCTGCATACCTCCCAAATGGCTATTGTTTGATACAAATCTAGTTAATTTTTTAAATTAAATATTAATTAGGGTTAGGGTTAGGGACCCGGTTAAGGTTAGGCATTAGGCCAGTTAGGGTTAGGGTTAGGGTTAGGGTTAGGGTTAGGGTTAGGGTTAGGGTTAGGGTTAGGGTTAGGGTTAGGGTTGGGGTTAGGGTTAGGGTTTTTGCATCATTCCTTGATATATGGAAATTCTGTGCATCAGTTGATGATACACAGAAATCTGTGCATCACTTCGTGATACCTAAGGTGCCTAAAGTGGATTTGCACCCATAGACCACAGGCACTTGCGACTGGCTGGTCGGGGTTCAATAAATAGACTCGCAGCTAGGGCCTGCATACCTCCCAAATGAAATGGCCATTGGTTGATACAAATAGTTAATTTTTTAATTAAATATTAATTAGGGTTAGGGTTAGGGACCCGGTTAAGGTTAGGCCTTAGGCCAGTTAGGGTTAGGGTTACCGTTAGGGTCACAATGCACCATAAAAGTTTTATTAAAACAGATCGCGCAGCACTTCGGATTAACACCTCCTTTCGGCAACGCTTCTCTAGTATCCCGTCTCATCTGGATCTTGCTGCCAGTGCTTCAGGCACGTGATTTGTATCAAATTGGATTTGGGAGGTATGCAGGCCCTAGCTGCGAGTGATAAATATCAACCCCGTTCTGCGCCTACCGTAGTGTGTATAACTATAACTATATTAAGAGACTAAAGAGTGGTAATTATGGATGTATAAATATATCACTATATCATGACTATGACTCATGAGTGACCAGGCAATAATACTTTTAATTGCAGATTTAGATAGATATAAGATAGATAGACTGAGACACACAGTGTCAGTGTCACACTCAGTGACTCACTCATAGTTACTAGTAGTAGTACTGAAAAGTATTTAAGTAGCATTAGACCACTTCGTTTAGTGTTTGAACGCTTACACGAACACGAACGCTTACACGAATTTTGGTAAATGCATGAAACCTTTGCGAAATGAATGTCAACCCAACTACAACTTACAAGCGAAGGTGTACCACACTGTGGGACTGTGGGTGTACACATGTACGTCGAAGTATGTGTGTAGCGCAGTATCGATGACGTCAAGAAATAGTGCGCACAAATGCGTCGTATGAGGATTATGACTTTCTTCTCATCTATACGACTGTGAATAAAATCAACTGACATCCTGATTTAATTAAAACCTACAGCTCTTACCAACACATTTATCACACGAACAAATACCGGGCAACACATTTTATTCGCCGTTCTAATCTGATATCGCTATTATACAGTGGTATTGAACATTGTTTGAATCCTTCAGTTTTGGAAATCCGCAATGGCGTAACATTTTGTGTGCCGTGAAGTGTTCATGTTGTCGAGTCGATTCTTTGCGTAAAATGAAGGTATATCATCACAGCATCGACTGAGGATTAAAGAACAAAGGATCTTCATCGTGAAGACGTCATTACTCATTGGTAAGAAACTTTATTGTAACCATAAATACCGTTTGAAAATTACACGTATATCAGGCAAGGACTAGTTAATTTCATAGTTGCAGGCTTGCCCGAAACCGCACACACTGTAGTGCAGAGCAAAGGCATGATCCAAACGGTCGGCAGCAATTTCACTAAGATAACATAAACTTATGCCAGCGGTTATTACTTGAGAGATCAGTTAATATTTCAAGGTTACATGGTATACCGTTTTAATTTCATTGTCAGGGGTGGACTTTACTGCAGTTTTGATAAATAAATTCCTTACTAAGTCAGTCAGTAAATGAGTTATTTTAAGCAAGGGGTTAATTAAATTTAGGCACGCAACTGTGCTAGTTCAAGATTGTAAGAAACCGTTCAGTTATGAACTAACTTACCCTACAATAATAAAATAGAGAAACTTGTTAGTGTAATACTAATATTATAACTATAAATATTTTGAATAATCAATGGCCCAATCTGAGTGATGATGAATGAAATGGCAGAATTAAAATCGTGGTATCTCTTCCATACAACCCTTTGCTCAGTGGCAGTGCTATGAAGCATTTAACATCGGGACTGCGAATATGATTGTAAATAAAACACCCGGCAGCTAAATGCTTCGTGAATCCGCAGTTACTACCTTTTTCCTACTTCTTAATATGCCCTCTAGAGGTCATGACATCTGAGGTAGATGTCCAGTAATGAACTTTCACATGTCAAGTTGAATAAAAAAGAAGAAGACAGGAACAAAAGTTGTAGTAGAGTGAAAATTGAGCTCGTAGTGAAAGGTAATAGTTTCGACATTTTACGTGATAACGTGCCGTATGTGTGTAAAACTTAGCTGTGTATTAGCACCCAAGCTTTAATCCAAAGGGATAGCCAATGTAGAATGTGTGATAGCCACCGCACAGCATATATAATGCTATGCTTTATGGTCGAGCCAGTTCTCTGGTTGCTGCCCCTTTGTGCCAAAGATTGTGCAAATGTCAGACACAGCTACAGGTATACCTTTCTGCAGTCACGTAATTCTTTGCGGTTTGTGTATATTACGGCATGCCTGTAACCTTTGGATTGTTGATTAAAAGTACTTGTTTTTACTTGTCTATCTAGACTACACCCGAGTGACCAAGGGGTCTAATTAACAAACGGGAATTTTAACAGTTTAGCACTTTATCTCTACAAGAAAAAACAGCCCTGTACCAACAGTAATGAAATATCTAAGGAGAAAAAATGCGACAGTCTATTATGTAAATTTGGGCTTCTGAGTAGTGTGCACCGTTTAAAAACGACATTATAATGCGATATGGACGATCAAACTGTTCGCGGCCGAAGTTTTACTGCAAAGTTTCCTTCTTTATTTCTCAGGCAACCATGCCAAGAGATCGGGATGGATACTCCCGACACCGTTCGCTCAGTCGCAGTCCCTCCCGGCCGAAGAAGGAGAAGAAGAGCAAGAAGGACCGCGGCGAGAAGCGGCACAAGAAGTCGAAGAAGAGGAAACATTCCAGGGAGTCGACGTCGAAGCCCGTGAAGCCGCTCGTGCAGTACGACGACATTAGCTCGGACTCGTCGATCGGCTACTCCGGCGACAGCCACTCGCAGTCGCCCGTCGTCGGCAGCCGCGTCTCGCGCAAGAAGTCGTCGCGGCGCGCGTCTCGCGCCGTCTCGCCGGCTACGGCGATCCTCGCCTACAAGAAGAAGCAGCTCATCGAGCGCGAGCGAGACTCGCCGGCGCCCGTCTCGCTGCGCGACGCCGAGGAGAGCGCGCCCGTCTACGAGCAGCCGCCCCCGCCGCCACGCAAGCCACCCGCGGAGCCGCCGCGCGCGTATCGGACCGAGGAGAGCCCCGTAAGGGAGTCTCCGTCGCGGCACAAGCGGCAGGAGTCGCCCGGGTTGCACCGGAACCGATTGCGGCGTAATCGGAGTAGGTCGAGGAGTCCCCGTGACAGGTATATGTGTAGAAAGCCGTATGTAGAGAGAGAGAGGTGTAGACAGGTATGTAGATAGCCGTGAATGCGGGTGACGTTGAGTGCATATGAGTGTGTGGGTGAAGCGAATTTTCTTGTAAATGGCTTGAAAGGGGATCCTAATCTCTTGGGAGAATGTCTGAAGAGATTTTGAATCAGCCTGTGTGTAAATAAATTATTTACTTTAATTCCAATATAGTGGAGTTTTTGATCATATATGTAGAATGTCATATATGTTGATGAAGGTAAGTCTGTAATTAAGCTAATTAATGCTTTTATATAAGAATCTTTAAAATGAATTATGGAATAAAATTATTATTTGTATTTAAGAGTTATGCATTTTCCACAAATATTAATTAGCAAATATGGACTGTTGGGAGTTTTGTTGTGGAGAACAGAACAGAAGATTGGTGGCATAATTTTTTACTGTTTTCTCTCCACCTAAAATGTTCTTGTAGATCATTGTATGTAAATTACAACATGTATGCATCACACAAAACGATTGGCAGTCAACATTGTTTTGGGCATTGCATCTTCTGATTGCTCGAGACTAATAAATGTGAAAATATATGATGTGGATTTCCACTTATAAAAATATCAAATAGCTGTACAGCACACTATTTAGTACTCATCCTGGTAACCTGGTATTATAGTAGTTATACTAGTCAAAAACAACAACAACGAAAACAACATGAAATGAAATCAGCAATGAATAAGTAGGATAGATAAAATTCAAACATATATATATATATATATATATATATATATATATAATATATATATACAGGGTTCTCCAAGAGCACTTATAGCCTGGCGGCCCGCCAGGCTATCGTCGAGCCCCGCCATCTTAAAATGCACCCGCCACTCTAAATATCATAGTCGCCATGCTAAATATCATAGCCCCCGGACCCCCCTAGCACGCAAACCGCCTTCGGCGATTTGCAACTAGGACCGTAAAGGCAGCACCCGCCATGCTATAATGGAAAAGCTTGGAGAACCCTGATATATGTATGTGTGTGTGTGTGCGTGTGTGCGTGCGGGCGTGTGTGTGGAGAGAGAGAGATATATAATTTGTGGTGTACAAGGGCAAATGTTTAATGTCCAAAAATATACAGGTATTACATCAAATATAGGTTGTGTTGCTGGTAAATATTGTTTTGTAGTATGTCTTAGGAACCTATATTTTACAAACCTGCAGTGTTGTCAGAAGTGTGCATCACAGGTGCTGATCAAACACCTGGTGTTATGCATGCATTGTACATGTGGCAATGTTATCCAATCTGAATTTTACTGTTTCCAGATCGAGAAGAAAAAGGGAACGGACCCCGAGCCCTGCTTATTCAAGGTCTAGGTCTCGTAGGTCGCGGTCACGGTCACCTTACGACAAGCCCAAAAACAAGATTAAAAACCTCCAGTTTGAGACTAGTTTTGCGGCAGAGTTAAGCAAGCACCGGAAAAGTGAGTTTAAGCTGAATAAGGAACATCCCATCGCAGCAGGGTACCACTTTCAGCCGAAGATAGATAATAACGATCGAAAGTCGGACAGAGGTGCATCTACACAGCACAACAAAACAGATTCCGGACATGGACCGCCAGTGCCCGTAATGATCGAGAGGCAGCAACAGAGCGCCGTTAGGCGCGAAGAAATCCGAAGACCGCCCGTCAAGGAGGAACCCGCGAGAGTTCTCATCGAAGACGTGCGAAACATTTGTCTGCCGCCACCGATCGTGCAGCCTCCCGCTCCGTCTGAGCACAAGCAGCATCGGCCGCTAGCCCTGCCGCTTCCTCCAGGCGTGGACACGAACGACGGGAGTGCACTGGAAGAGGCGGAGTCGAGTCCCTTTAGCAGTAACGAGTATTCTCAGATGCCGAAGCCGAAGAGCAGGCTTCAGGATCTGCCGATGCCGCCGGTCGACAGCGACGCCGAGTCAATATCCTCGGAGCCGGAAGTCGACGAGGAGAAAGATACCGAGAATATGAAAGTCCGGTAAATAACTTGGCAGCGTCGTCGCTGTGTGCGTGTGTGCGTGCATGATGTGTGCGAGTGTGTGGGTTTTTCTTCTCAAATTTAGTGTGCCAAAGTTGTGCCATTTCGTGACTGGTGGTTTTTTTCTGCAGTGCTCGTTTAATGAGAATATGCTTAAAATACTCATACATGATCATTTGTTTTGTTCCTCACCCAACACAGTTACAAGATTATTGGGAAAAGCAATGCTCGCCACGATGTCGTTGCATGGGGTACTCGTTTTGTGGACATGTACGATATTGTCAGTCAGATCGGCGAGGGGACATACGGACAAGTGTACAAGGCACGAGATAAAATTGCAGGTGAGAAACGTACAACAGCTTGTGAATATGTATTTCATGCTAAACTCAAGAGAGTACTATAAAATAAAACGTAATAAATAAATAAATGAGTGAAGATGACACCTGATAGTTCGTGAATTCCTTAGATATACCAAGTGATTTCTTATGTTTATCTACTAGGAGAGATGGTAGCACTTAAAAAGGTTCGACTAGAAAATGAGAAAGAAGGTTTTCCTATTACGGCTGTGAGAGAGATAAAAATTCTACGCCAGCTCAACCATCAAAACATTGTCAACATGAAAGAGATTGTCACGGACAAGCAAGATGCAACTGATTTCAAAAAGGATAAAGGTACTTGCATTGTAATTAACATATATATTTATTAGCACTGCTATCTTGTTAGGTCATTAAGTATACTATAGATAAGTTCTTAGATTAGATGTTCTTTGGTTAAATTTATCTTTATCATTTAAAAGCAGAATGTGTCCATCTATCACACACTGTTGATGAGTGCTAAAATAACTTGCACCTTATGCTGTTTATAAGTATGTAATCTTGTCACCAACTTCTCATTGGGTTGTCCAATTTCACTGCTGCTTACTGATAAAAAAACAATTGAAATTGATATGCATTGATTATCGTAGGAAGTTCACAATTCGAATCACAACCATGAGGCGGGTGTAATAGAGGCTTCCACATCGCATATTTTTGCACACATGCTTAGTTCGTATACTCGGATATAGAACTCATGGGGCACATATCTTTGCTGCTCAAACTAATATTGCTACATGAACACAGTGTTGTGTATAGCCTTGTTGCCAGCTAAAAATATGGGCAGAGTTCTTGGCTTGCTTGTTGTCAGATAAACAACATTCAAAAGTTTGGTTTGAAAGGTGACCAGCAGTGAAACTGGACAAACTAACATGAATTTCATTGTGAGGTTATTTGCTTATAAATGACACAAGGTGTTAGTTTTTAGCTCACCTTGACATCGTCAAGATGAGCTATTGCCATGGGTCAGCGTACGTCTGTCCGTCGGTCCGTCCGTCCGTCCGTCCGTTCGTCTGTCCGTCCGTCCGTCCGTTCGTCTGTCCGTCCGTCCGTTCGTCCGTCTTTCCGTCAACATTTGGCTACGGTCAACGATAACTCAGGAACCGTTTGAACCACATGTTTGAAATTGGGTATCGTTGTTACTGCTATGAGAGAGGTTTGAACGTTCTATTTTGGAGCACGCCAGTCGACGTACTTTCAAGCCACGGCAATTTTTTGGCAAAAATGGAAATTTCCATTAGTCAGTTCAGGTTCAACGGATTTTGCTCATTTTTGGTATGTGAATGAATAAGGTACAGGGGTTTTGATATTTTAAAAAAAATTATGCAAATTAGGTAGGTTTTGGCAATTATATAGCATATTATATAGACACGCAGATAACAGTCTGTGGTGTCACACTCGTCTGGTTCGTTTTACAAGATTTCATTGACAATATCTTTAATGCAAAATTGGTATTTTCCCTCTCCACCCTGCCGATAAAACGTCTATATTAGAGTAAAGTTTTACAAAACATGTCGGAACGCAGCATAACTTATTTATTTCGAACGCCATCGCTAAGAAACATCAAAGCGGGTATAGCGCCATCTACCGTCACAAATTGTGATTCATTTTGGTTTATAAATTATTATTGCGATATATAAATGGCAACCGTATGCTACCGCCTAGAAAAACTCATACGAAGTAAACACTTCCATGCAACCAATTAAACTTTGACAAAAGTTGTGTTATGGGCAGGGAAACACCATTGTCACGTGGTATATAGCAGCTACGTGGAATAAGCGTATCCTCTCAATCTTACATGTTACACATCGGGAGCTCCGCTTTTAGGCAGTGTCTATATCTGAATATTATAAAAACGTTAAATGGCGATCATTTAGGTGTAACGCCATCACTCGCCCACATCTCAAACTTTCACATCTCAAACATTTATTTTCACATAAAAATTTTCACATATAATTATCAAGAGTATATAATGGGAGTTCTCCCATATATACTCTTCGTTTCTATAATGTACGTCGATGGTTGCTCAGTTATCACTCACTCATTTGTGTCATTTTTTTGTGGTGAGCTACAGTGTCATTGACACTTTCATTATAATAATCATCAAAAGTGCAGATTAGATAGACATTTTTTTGTTTTAAAGGTTACACAACTAGGGTTACTACACTCAGCAAATATCTATTATTTAAACAGTCAAACCTGTGTAAGCAGACAGTTCTATAGAATGGATGCTTATCTATGATGACTTCTATACAACAAACACTTGTTTGTAATGGGGTCTTTTGGGTTTCTCTTGAGTATTCCTTGTATACTGGTTTGGCTATATATTGTTATTGTTATTGGCACAAACAATTTAGTCAAAACTTTGAGATTACACATCTAGGAATACTTGCAGCACTAATGACAACACATATCGATTGCATTCATTCATGTGCTATAGCTTCTAAATCATTGTCATTGCCACCATCATTCTCCATTGTATTTATTTTATCATGTTTATCTGTACCTGTGGCTGACCATAGCTATTGGTGATAGTGTATTAGTGTAACAACAACAACAACAACAACAACAACAACAAAAGTCTCACAATGGGTATTATTTTGTTTACATACCACAGATGGTTGAAGTAACACGATTTTTTGGTATTGTTTCACATAATCTGATGCATACCTGCATTTGTTCAATGATTTGTCTTGTATATTAGGATATAATTGCTATCAATTATATACAATGAACACAGTTTGCACAATTCCAAGTATTCTCAGCATGTGTGTCTTTAATATTTTGTCAGACATTTAATAAAGGAATAACCCGTAAAATGGTTTCTGTTGCATATCTCCACTTGCCTATATATGTATACACGCTGTGTGCTTCTGAATACGAGTCAAGCCTTTTTTCCAAGTGGAATAGGTTGCTAACAGGTTGTGTTATTTCATTTTATGTTCTGATATGCTGATTATCCATTGTGGTCATTAGGTAATTATATAGTCCTAGCTAGATGGCTACAAATATAAAGTTGTTATGGGAAAATATAGTGTGGATGTTCTTAATATGGGATCGGTTGTACTACACGTAAAGTGCATTATAGATTACGTGAACGTTTTCAAACTTGTGATATTTTTTTACTATGAAAAGTACAAACCTGTGGACCAAACTTGAACATGCATTTTAACAGAATGCTACATATTCATGCATTCCTGGAATATTACATTAAAAATGTATTGAGTTGTTTTATAGCGAGTGTATGGTGGCATGGACTGCCTTTGTAATAAAGTGTTGTATATTAGAGCAAGTTAATCAATCTTTCAACAATAGCATGGCGTAGAGTTGTGCATAGAGTTAGAAGTGGTTACAACTTGGTGGATGTTTTGATGAAGTACATATATGCTGCGCAAAAATACGTGATGATACACTAAACAATAGATTACATATATTTTTAATCACCCAGTTATTTGAGAGAGCGTGCAATATTCAAACAAAATGACATTTTAATGTATTTCTTCAAGATACTAATATATTAATTATTGCTGCTACTATTGGTTGTTAGTAGGTGTCATCCATATTCATATCAGTTTTTGAGATTCTGCCCATTTTTGTTCGTTTTGGTATAATTTACCGGATCACATCAAACATCAAGTAGAATCTTTATTTGTAGATAGCCAATATTATATTGACAATGTGTGATTGATGACCAGTGTTAATGCTTCATGGGCATTTATGTCTAATGTTTGATGTTATAGCAACTGTCTCTCTTTGGTCTGCTAGGTGCATTCTATCTAGTGTTTGAATACATGGATCATGACCTGATGGGCCTCTTAGAGTCTGGCCTCGTGCATTTCAACGAGTCCCACATCTCGTCCTTCATGAAGCAGTTGTTACTCGGCCTCAACTACTGCCACGAGAAGAACTTTCTGCACAGAGACATTAAGTGTTCCAACATTCTCATGAACAACAAGTATGGCATTCTCATCTGTTTTTTCTATGGGGTATAGCAGCAGCTCGTATATATATAACCTGTATATAATTATATATAATATGTATGAGCATGTAAATTTTTATTAGTTAGATCAGTGGTTCTCAATATTGGTGGTGCTGCCCCTGGGGGCTGTGGCATTACCTGAGGGGTGTAAGATGATAGAGCTAGTAGGTGTACATAGGGTAAGCTAGATAGCACTGGGGATGAGTTTAGGAAGCCAAGGGGTGGTAGCCCAAAAAAAAACTTTGGAACCACTGCGATAGATGCATGGCCTACGTGTGGGAAATGTCATTTTGTTTTAACCGCGTGCCGTGTCGTCTGTCAGTAGTTGTTTGCGATGCAGATTTGCATACGCTCATTCTTCTAGGGGCCAGATAAAGCTCGCCGACTTTGGTCTGGCGCGGCTGTATGACGCAGAGGAGAGTCGGCCGTACACAAACAAGGTGATCACGCTGTGGTATCGCCCTCCCGAACTGCTCTTGGGGGAGGAACGGTACACGTCCGCCATCGATGTCTGGAGCTGTGGGTAGGTGGCAGACACTAGCTTAAGCGTAGTGTGTAGCGGTATTTATATTCGACCGGCATATCTGTCTGAGCGAGGTAACCATGCCCACCCTCCCTTATGTGTTGTTGCTTGGTGGGTCAAGCTACACCTGTTATTTGTACATGTTTTTCACGAATGCATGCCAAATTGTTGACTTTTTGGTAGCTCGAAACCAAGTCGAATTTTAAGAACACCTTTACTAGACTTATGATTGGGTAGAACTGCCTGTTAATTACTCAAGGTGGATGGCTCAGTTCGGATCATTTACTTTAAACTTGACATTTATAGTAAGCATGCTGAGACATCTTTAAAGGCATAATAGGCCCATTGATTATGCAAAGTTGACAAATGCTACAGTAACTGGCACCTTATGTAGTTAATAAGTACATTACCTTATAGCCAAACGCGTATTAGTTTGTCCAATATCACTGCTAATTACTAAGCAATGTCTAATTGAAATCCGTAAATCTGGTAATCTGGCGCCAACGCTAAATTGGTTGCCAAGCAAAATAGCCTCGAATTCGGTTAGGTGATGTCACATGTTGCTACGGGTGTTGAGCAGAGAATTGTTTGTCCCAGGATGCTTATAACGACTAATGAGCTAGTAGAATGTATCTCTGGGTGTATTCTCGGTATTGAGGCACAAGTAAATAACCGTGGGTGCTAATGAACGGGTGGGCCACATGTCTTTAATTTCGGACAGGTGTATTCGTTTGACCAATATACGTAAATACGCGTAGTGTCGTCTGCTTTCCATGTTTAGTCTGTGGCCATGGTTAGTCCGCGATCCCCCCATAGACTAGTGTTGGCCCCCAACACAGCCTACTTCATTATCATGAGTGTCCGTGATTGTATGTGGATTCCACGTTCATTACAATCAGAGCTACTGTTACGTATACACTTACGGTACTGTACTATCGCTAGCATTGCGTACTGCTGAGCATGCGTGCGAAAATGTCCGGTGCACTATAAATCTGTATCACACCCGTTTCGCCGGATGCGGTTTCAAAACTGTAAACAAGTCGGTCAACTGATTTCTTGGACTGCGGATTTCAATTAGACATTTCTTAGTAACCAGCAGTGATATTGGACAAATTAATACGCGTTTGGCTATAAGGTAATGTAACTACACAAGGTGCCAGTTACTGTAGCATTCTTCAACTTTGCGTAATCAATGGACCTATTATTCCTTTAATAGTTTTCGTGTGCTAGTACTTGCTATGTACAGATTGCTTGCTATTTGCAGATGTATCCTTGGTGAGCTCTTCACAAAGAAACCCATCTTTCAAGCAAATCAGGAACTGGCACAACTAGAGCTCATCAGTAGGGTTTGTGGCACGCCAAACCCTAGCGTATGGCCTGATGTGGTAAAATTGCCACTCTTTCATACCATGAAGCCAAAGAAAATGTACCGGCGGCGCTTGAGAGAGGAATTCTGTCTGTAAGTGTATCGACCACGCGTGCAACATGTCTTGAACAGTGAGGATTCACTGCCTTGCCATGTGTACGTGACATGGTGTGAGCACATCCTTAAATGTCTTTGTCATTTGAAATGGTGATGGTGAGGTGTTGACAAAATGTTTCTCGGAGCGTAAACATGTTTTATCATGACCGGTTATAAAGAAAATGCTGAAATGTTTAGGAAGCAGAAGTTTGATATCCTTTCATTTGCGCTCATCTAGATTGCAGTCCACGTTCATGCAACTGCTGATGTGACTAATATACATATTTTCATACATTAGTTAAATATAGCTAGCTAAATAGTTATATATAGTGTATTGTATTGGTGACCTGTGTACTGTACACTGTCATGTGGCGCCACCTATAATGTATCGTCAATAATTTGCACGTGGCATTTTGTAGTTTTGTGCAATGAATAATCTAGTGGTCTCAATGCTGCAGACTACCTGCACCTGCACTGGATCTCCTAGACAAAATGCTGGAATTAGATCCACTAAGGCGAATCAGTGCTCAAGAGGCTCTGGCATGTTCCTGGCTACAAGATCTCGATCCAGATAAAATGCCTCCACCAGAGTGAGTTCTCGGTTCTAGTTTAGTCTCCTATAGTTCAGGGGCCCGTTGTCAGAAAAAAATTAGTCTTAACATTAGTCTTAATATTAATTTCCACTCGTAAACCGTTGACAGAAACATCGCAAAGTTACGAGAATGAAAAATCCTCGCAAATATCGTCTTAGCATTATGATAGCCCAGACCCTCTTGTAACTTTAATATTAAGGTAAAAATAACACATTTACACTAAGAATTACAATTATAGTGATATTATATTTTATATTAATGAGTAAAATGTGTTTTTCTTGAAAAACGTCAATAACATTAATTATCTACCGATCGTAAAACAAAACAAAACATTTACAAATGGCGTGTGGCATTTGTTCTCTTGTTTTAAATACTTTGTTACTGGCCACAACTTTCGCGTCTCATGTTACAGTGTGAGAATTTGTCTTGTTGTGCAGAATAAATTCAAGACCGTGTCGTTTTTTCATCAAATATTATTTATTTGTTGTTGACCCATAATGATACACATAAATTACTGTGATGTACAATAAATGTGTATGAATTTGAGTTTTATGATTGATTCTCATCCAATCAGCAGCCTTGTGACATCAAATTATGAAGTTCCTGTTATCGTAAGTTTTCTCATAGCTGCGATGCGTTTCTGTCAACGCTATTCTCGTAACATTAACATTAGTCGTAAGTGTTATCTTGGCATTAACAATTAGCATTAACTTTACGATGTTTCTGACAACGGCCCCCCCGGCTCTTGTCTGGTGGCATGTAGTTAATAAACTGTACTGGTGCATAAGGCTGTGAATATCACTGGTATATTAGTTGTTTCAGCTAGCTTAGCAGAGTATTTTCAATTTACCAGATGGCAAGTAGTTTTTTTCGTAAGACATTTAGTCACTGTTTTTTTTTGCAAATCGCTTTGCAGCCTGCCTCTGTGGCAAGACTGCCACGAGATGTGGAGCAAGAAGCGCAGGAAGGCGTTGCGGGCCGAGCAGGAGGCTGCCCGACAGCCGGGCAGCCAGCGGCAGGGCATCCCACACATCGACTCTGCAGCCAGCCTGCCGCTGCTCGGCGATGACTCGGCGACGCAGGACGCCCCCGCGTCTGCCGACAGGCAGAGCAAGACCGACAGCAAGGAGCCGACGCCGAAGGACGCTCCGCCGTTTGCAATGAGGGAAACGCCGGGCAGCGGTTCGAAGGGCACGCCGTTCACTACTGAGCCTCAGCAACAACAGCAGCAGCAGCAGCAGCCGCAGCAGCTGTTGTTGTTCGGTCAGGACGAGTCGTCGTCGTCGCACACGCCGGCGAAGACGGAGAGCGCCGCCGCGGATGCTGCGGACGTGAAGAGCGGCGGCGAGGGGAGCGGCGGCGGCGGGCTGACGGCGACGGTCGCGCGCATGCTGCAGTCGCAGCCCGAGCTCAGCGTCGAGCAGCTCACGAAGCAGCTCAATCTGAGCGCCGACCCCAACATCAAGACGCTGCTGGAGGCGCTCAACCTGCAGCTGCTGCTCGCCAACGCCGCCAGCAGGCAGCAGAGGGACTCTAGCGCGGAGCCGCCGGCCGCCGGCTCGAGGACAGGAGGCGGCGCGGTGCTGACCGCCGCGCAGCCCCTCGTGCCAGGCAGTGACGACTACGGTGATAGTAGTAGTGGTGGCGGCGAGCGGCCGGCCGAGCAGCAGCATCAACTTGTGTACAATAACGGCCAGGGCGACGTGCATGGTGATCGTGCTCAAGCGGCGAAGGAGGAGTCGCAGCATTTGTCGACTGGTTTGAAGGCTGCCTTGGCACAGATGCTGGCAGCGCAGGGCATGAAGGTGAGCTTCGCCGCATCGACGGGCAACAGCACAGAGCCGGCCCAGCCGAACTACACTTCAGCTACTGCGGCCGCATTCCCCGACGGATCCTACGCATCTGACTCTAACAGTTATGGTAATGTCACTGATATATGTACAAGTGCTTTGAGGCACACGTTTTCGACTAATTCATTGGGTGACTCTGTTATTAGTGATGGGAATACGTTGTTAGGTGCTCCTGGAATTAGGGGTCAGGAGAATGAAACTAACATCATGTCATTATTATTGCCTGAAACGCCCACGTCACTCCCACCGAAACCTTCCCTGCCATCCATATTGAAAAAGATCACCGTCAATCGGTCAGATAACTTGCAGGTTAATTACGTGCAGGAAAAGCTCGTTGTTGAGCGGTATGACTATTCTAGTTCTGCACATGTTACTGGTTACGCGTTTAATTCCATGTCTAGTGATGGGAGGCAGGTGGATAGATTATTTCAGAGCGATGCTGCAGGTGGCGCTGTCAGACAGTCTGTCCGCAACGAGCAGGGTCCTCGTGAAGGTTTGTATTCGGATAAATGGTCCGAGCCTTACGATGGCCATCCAGGAAGACGGTCGCCACCTCTAAGGCCTGGCGCACAGGGTTACATTGGTGATGGTAGGTACAGGACGTCTGAAGGTCGCGTACCCGGCGATCCGTATTTTGACCAAAAACTGTCGAAGGATGAAGAGAGACAGTTTGACAGAGGGGTGGGGAGGCCCGTCAAAGAGGTTATAGAATACGATCCCAATATAAGAGCAGGGGAAAGACATCCTCCGTCGAATTTTGATGAGAGGATGGCGCCTCAAGTCATTGACTATACCGAACGTGGTCCGTGGACAGGCCAGCGCCGCGGAGAGGCCGGTCCGGCGGGGGAGAGACCGGACAGGTTTTTCCCCGGAAGACCTGAGAGAAATTTCGGCGAAGGTTACGAGGGTCGCGAGCAGGTGCCCCCGGCTTCCCGCGCTAGGCAGTCGTTCGATTATTCGCAAGACTCGTACCGAGCGTCTCCGTCCGAGTCGCGGGAGATGATGCGCAGGGCTTCGGGCGACGAAGCATCGAGAACCGGGCCGCAGCGTGGAAGCGCCGCCCCCGCGAATGCCTCGAGGGAAACGCATCCCTACTACGGAGGAGCGGACGCAAACGCGCGAGAGCGGACCGACTGGAACGAGCCGGAAGAAACGGACCGGCATCAGTACGACGCGTACCCGTCCGAGGAATTTGAGGACCTGCGGCCCGGACGACCGGAAAGCGGTGGCAGTGACATGTCGATAGACACGGAAGAGGGCAACGCTGTGGGCACCACGGATCGTTTGCCAGGAGCCGGTTCCGGCGGAGCGAGTAGAGATGGCGGGGCGGACGTCCCGCCAAGAAGGCTGCCGTTAGACAGCTCTCCGGAATTGGATGACAGTGAGATGTTGAAGAACGTGAAACAGAAACTAGGTGGCGATCCCGAACGGTCGGATACGAACGAAGCGGTGAGCGAGCGTGAGTTGTCAGCTCAGAAAGTAGAAGCCGAGAAGGTAAGTACATGGCCAACTCAAGATGACACTGGTAACAAGGGAGAACGTGGAGGACCACCTCCAGTGCAAGGTGAAAACAGGGATGAGCACAGGGGACCACTTCCAACACAGGGTGGAAATACCGAGCCAGTTGGCGGGCTGCCTCGAGTCTTCGGTGGCGATGTGAAGCAAGATGGTGCGCCACCTACATTTCCGGGAGAGTTTCATCCTCACTCCATGGGTTCACAGGAGAGATTTCATTCCTCGCCTAATCTCCGACCCCGGTTCCAACAACCTCCACCTCAGAGACAGCAGGGCCTGCTAAGTCCACCAGTACAGCAGCACACGAGCAGCTTAGCTAACGTAGCGTATCAAGAGCCAGTGCGCCAGAGTTTGAATCCACTTCGTCCATGCTTTGGTGAAGGCCAGATTCGGAATCGACCACCACTTTCTCGTGTTCAGGTTGGGAATGGATCACCATTCCAGCAGGGGCATATAAGGAGCAGATCACCATTACCGCAAGGTCACATTGGGAACAACCCTGTAACAAAACTAATGGATGTGCCAGTTAATGAGGACAGTGCAACTAGTCATGAGGAAATAGACCCGTCTGTAGGCGAGGATGGTCTGGGACATATCAACCCAATGCCCTTTGCTGGCATGGGAAGAGGGCCTCCACCATTCATGCCAAGAGGAGGTCCTGGGAGAGGAGAATGGGCTAGGGGAAGGGGTAGAGGTGGTTTCTACTAATCATAAAGAGGGTCAATAATGTAACTACTGCCGCAATGAAAATAGTCATATAGTTTATTGAAGAGAGTTGAGTGCATATTTTTTTGTGGAATATATCGACAAGTATCATGTAGTGTGTAATTGTACTACCTTACCACGTTACCATATAATGACATGATGCGGAGGTTGATGGTGACCTGTATATATATTCAGTGTGTGCATCTATGTGTTACATTTCTTTGAGGTTTCATGGTGGTTGGTGTGTCAGGTATGTGGGTTAAGAAGGGTTATATGTACATGGCCTTGTATGTCACTTACATCGTGAACCTTGTTTCTGATTTGCCTGTTGGTTGCTTCCTACGTTTCTTGTCTATTTATGGCCAGTGCCTGGTGTTTCCTGCCCTTATTGTTGCATAAATGTTCTTTTTTGAAATGTGTTAAATAATTTTCATCTTTCAGAAAATTACATAAGAACAATAGAAAATATTGTTGAAATATTTCGTTCTGCACCGGTAATAATATGATTTTTCCTATGAAGTAGGAAATAATTATCTATGTTCCAGCAATGTGACACAACTCCTGCTAATTAGTTGTATTATTGCATGTATATGCAAAATCAATTTCGTTTGTAGAAAAATATTATGAACTGCACACTCTGATAATATGATGCTGACTGCCACCCGATATTGTAGTGATTGTTGGCGCTATTGTTTTATCGTTTATGTATTCTAATGATGTCACGGTGCAGCTGTGAACGCAGCTGGTTATCCTTGTATGTTTTCATCATAGAAGGCAGAGTGGTTTTTCTTTCATGGTTGTAATGAGATTTCATTAAGGGTGGCATTGTAACAGAGTGTAGGCAGTTCAGTGGCTAGTTGCCCCTTCTCACAAATGTAAGTGCTTACACCTAAGTAAAATTTTGAAAATGATTTTCTTTTTTATTGCTTGTTTAAACTACAAAGTGAATAAAAACAGTGACAAGCAACTTGGACGAATGTGTTATCCTGCAGGTTAGCCAGTCAATCGGCAAGTTATGCAGCAGTAAACACCTCCAAGTAATCTTTGAAGTATATTTTTATACTGCCTTGTCTAAACAAAGTTATACACGGTAAGAGATCATGCCTATGGTATTAGTACAATGGTAATCTCAACACGGAAACACATATTGCTCTTTGAACAGAGGCAGGACCAGGAAGAAGGGTAAAAAGTGCACGTCCATGGTATATACCATAAACCGTTCTATACTAGGTTAGAGTTTAGCTTTACCTACGTAGCCATTTGCACCGTCAGAGGCTGGGCTAAATGGTTAGAGCTAGATTGTACGTAGATAGATTAGGCACTACTATAGAATGGTTCAAGCATATATTAAAAGCAAAAGGGACATACCATATAATACTCCGTACTGACTGCAAAATTTGATATTCTATTAAACTAGCGCGCGCCAGGCCCAGTCCTGATGCGCGCCAAATCGTAGCGTGCAGACTGCATATTTGTTCCTACATTAAATGAGTCATCCGTTCTCTGTTCAGCTCGCCATGTCACCCCGCAGACAGCGAGGAGCGAGCGTACAATTACGTGACCTAAATAAGGCTATGCGCATGCGTATTGCGATTTAGCACCCGGTCTGGCCCGCTTGCTGCGTACAGACACACACACAAGCGGGCTAAGTTATCCCGGGCCTGGCCCTCCTTTATTTGCGGGCCCAAATTGGAGCGGGATAGCGTGTACACACTGCAAAAATTTTGTGCGGGCCTGGCGTGCACTAGTTTAATACCATATCAAATTCGTAGTCTGTACGGGGTATAATATGCCAGTACAGGAAAACGAAAAATCAAGTGTCATGACCATCAGTTCCTGACCAGAGTTTCTGTGGGAGGGAGGGAGGGAGGGATGAGGGGTGCAGCATCTCCCTCTAAAACGTTTTCAAAGTTTTCAATATTACATCACAGAATTTCTCGAGTGTTTTTATTTTAAAATTATTTATATTATTCAAAGGTTTTAACCTGATTCTGTTATGTCAAACGAAAATGGGGTTCTACAACAATTTCCTATATCAAAGCCATTGCCTATTTTTTGGGAGTCAATAAGGGCACTTGCCATGTAGATCCCTCACCTTTGGGTTTAGCCAAAGATTAAAATAGATCGACCTCACAACAAAATGCCTATATATGGTTACAGTCCTATAGACCGAAGGTCCGATAGACCGAAGGCCTGATAGATCGAAGGTTTATTCGAATACGCAGTGGTTACACGTCCGGAATCGGTCACCTAGCCTCCAGGCTACGCATCCGGACATCCACTGATGCCGTATTCGAACGTGAATATGCCGCACATCCACCGATGCCACTATAAATCATATAATGCCACTATAAACCATATATATGCCCTAACCCTAACCCTAACCCTAACTCTAACCCTAACCCTTTGCAACATTTGGTCTATCGGACCTCCGGTCTATAGGGCTGCCCCCCTATATATACCTACTGCGAGCATACTTGCAGTGTGAAAACATTACGAAATGTTCTCATTGAGTCAGAAATGTGCTCCGAAGTTGGCTATTTTGAAAACTTCTGTGTACGCAAGTTAAGTGCCAGATAACGCAAAATAATATCGATACGCCATAGCGCAAATAGTTCCTGGAATGAAAACACTATATTTGTTTCCTGGTTGCATAAGTAATGTAGATAACGATATATGATTGTATCCCCCCCGACGAAGTCGGCGAGGATACTATGGTTTCATGTCTCCCCAGCCGCCGCCGCCGCCGCTCGGTCCGCCGCAGAGAATTTCCCTTCCACTCTATAACTCGACCCCTAATTGACCTAGCGTGACCAATCTTGGTATACTTACACATCTTGGGGAGAAGGTGTGCAGAGTACCAAAACCAGGTCACTGCGACCTTCATTTGACCTTTACCTTGACCTCGTGATCATATTTCCCTTCGCGCCTCTCTAACCTCGGCCCCTATTGACTTTAGCGCCCCCCCTACCAACTTGGGTATGACCTACAATCTTGGCGGGAGGTGAGCAGCGTACGACCAGTGTCACCCCGCTGCGACCGTTATTTGACCTTGCATTCATATTTCCCTTTCCGCACTCCCTACTCGCCCCTAATTGACCTAGCGCTACCCAAAACCATCACTACGCACCTTTATTTTACCTTACTTGACCTTGATCATATTTCCCTTGCCGCTGCTATAACTCGGCCCCTAATAATATTGACCTAGCGCGAGCCACCAAACTTGTATACTTACACTCTTTGGGGAAGCGTGTGTCGCGTACCGAAACCACGGCTCACTGCACCTTTATTTGACCATTGGACCTTGATCTTGACGCTTCATCATATTTTTCCTTCCGACCTCTATAACTCAATCCCCTACTAATTGACCATAGCGCAGACCAAACTTCGTATACTTTCACATCTTGGACGAGAACACGGGGCGATACATGTAGTTGCCGCGACAACTTGCCCTTCTTAGTTTATAACAAATGTCAATATTTTGTACTTGAATAAAACATCGAATAATTGAATTATAAACTTGTTTATCATAGAAAGGAACTGTTACTGAATCAGACTGATCGCCTCCACTGCTTCGCGGAGTGTGTAGCAATCACAGTTGGTTGACTACGTTCGTAAAGAGCGAGTTAGTTTCGTTTAGATTTTAAGAAGAAATGTTACTTGAAGGTTAGAATATTAACTGAGATTTAGTCGAATTTTTGCAACATATGGCAAGCTCACAGTAGGTATATAGTATATATTGCATTAGCTGCGAAGTGGCATCTGCTTAATGTTACACGTGGCTACTGGTGTCCGCGTCATCCATTAGACAAAGCTCGGCACAGTTCCAAATCCACGTCACGATTAGGCCACGCCGCCCCTTTCAAATCGGTTGATTTTACTGCGATTTACCTATTGCTTCAAAGGTTACTCCAAAACACTTTTTTTGATAAAAATACTTAAAGGTAAGATAATATTATGGGGTGAAAACTTATGTGTTTATTTGTTTATTTTTACTGAAAAAATCATAGATTTCACATAATGAAATATAGGATTCTAGGAAATACCCCCCCGGACAATTACCTCCTTATTGCCACTTCACCCCCGGACAATTATCCCCCCGGACATCACCCCTTTCGGACATTTACCTCCGGACGATTTTCCCCCCAGATGTGCATTTACACCCCGGACAATTACTCACTAGTGTTGTATTATTCATTGTTTGAGATCAGTGATCCAGGGAGGAGTCGAGAGGGAGGAAGAGGTGGTGGAGGAGGAGGAGGGGAGAGAGGTGGTGAAGAGGGAGGGAGCAAGTGTGGTGGATGGAGAAGTGGATGGAGGGGGAGGCGAGAACGTGGTAGAAGGTGGGTGGAGGAGCCAGGGTAGAGCACAGGGAGAGCGTAGCGGAGGGCCAGGTGGTGGAGGAGGAGGAGGAGGGGAGAGAAAGGGCGAGGGGGGGGCGGTAGAGAAGTGTGCCTCTACCTCCCTCCTCTCCTCCTTGCCTCTCCTCCTCCTCTCCTCATCACGAGTTCTCCCTCCTCTTCCTTCCTCCCTCAACACCCGGCCTGCACCTCTCTCGGCCTCCTCCTCCAAAGCTAACCTTCTCGGTCGTTCCTTAACTCGCTCCTCCACTACCTTCCGGTCGTCCTCGTAATTCTCCCTACTCTAATTGTCCGGCGGGTAAGTTGTCTGTGGGGTAATGTCCCGGGGGGGGGTAATTTCCAGGGGTAAAGTCCGGGGGCGTATTTGTATGATAACCGAAATATTTTACCGGACGCGTAGCCACTGCCTTAATGTTATCCTGAAACCAGAATCGACAACTGGTTAATTATTTACTGGATAGTGTCCATGACCTATGATGACATGGCACAAAGCAACACTTTCTCTGCCAATCGTGTTTTGAATATCTTACGTATTCAAGTGACATCCATACATTACTGAGTCACGCCATTTCACGTTATTGGCATTAAGAGAAATTAATTGTTAAAAATCATTTGGAAACGAATTGGATCATTTTCCTAACCATTTCTAAGCTTTCTAGCTTTTTTTGATGCGATTTAATATCGAACTGACGCTCGTCACTGTGTCTATGTACAACGGTAATAACGGCTAAGGAAGTTTTATGAATCATTACGTACATAGACACTTGCCCACGCGCGTACTCGGGTACTTGCGCCCCAAACAAGCACGCATCGTCTGCTTACCTAACTATTGTAAAGCCAGCCATTCGTCGCGTTGCCGAGTTCTGGCAAGAGATGGCACGTAAGTCTAGAACGGCTTCACTGTGTGCGCGTATTGATCTGAAAGGTCTGCACACGCTCACGCGCGCGCACACAGCGTGTGCTTGTGGTAGGGACTGTGAACATCCTCATCGCGCAGTTGCGTTATTTCAGCGGATGACGCAATCTGTATTTAGCCGTTGAAATGCGAAATTATGTGCGCGGCCGGTCACGGACTGAAAGGCCGTGATGTAATCTGGCCGTATTTGAAGCGCGCTCGCATTTGCTAATGATTATGACAACCAGCATCTAATTTGATGATGGCTAAGACAACCACTTGCAGTAGAGTGCGCAAGCAACGTGCAGATAGCTATATAGTACGCAATAGACGTATGTAGTGGGGGCCGTCAGAATTAGTCGAAAGTAGTCGGAAAGCATGTCTGTGTGCTGTCGTGCAAGAACTTCTCTCCGCATCTCTGCAGAATGGTATAGGCTTTCTTATTCCTTTTACACATTGTTTTAGTTTCATTTACATTGACAGAAAGTCGGTACTTTGTCGCTTGTCGAATCCCAACAATGACTAAAAGTAAGGTAAATAAGTCTTTACACAGGGTAACAGTGTGGATAAAGGTGAGATTCTTGTATAGGCTTATTACTTTCCTTGGGCGTGAGAAGTCAAACTCATCGCGTTACCTGTTTTTAGCTTCTTTTCT